GAGCGCGGGCCGCACAGTGGCCGCCGTGCCAGGCATCATATAGTCTCCTTCAGGGCAGCGGTGCGAGCCCACTTCCGGCGGTACACGGGTCAGAATATCGCCACGGCGCTCCATGACGCGTGACGAGGGAGGAAAAAAATGGCCCTCGTCAGGAATCATCAAGTCGTTCAGAGATAAAAAGTCATCCAGTGATCGTTAACGGAACAGGCGAAGATCCATTTTCTACTCGAAAACATCAAAGGAACTATACCTACCACTTCTAACATGGGGTTTTGAACTGAAATAGCTATTTTGCAGCTTGAGCTGAGACTAACACAAACCAAGAGCTATTATCGGCCCTACGATCACCCTAGGCATAGAAATTCCATTTCTCGTTCCGAAATCCGAATTATTCTAGACGCCTGCACAGCAAACTTCGGCGTCACAGGCGCAGACGTCAAACGTCACCGTGCTAGCTGCCAAAAATAGAGTCACACGAGTTTTAGAGATAAAGACAAATAACGAGTACGGGAGTGTGGCGTTTGACCTTGAAAAACTAGTAGAAAAATAGTTTTGGTGACCTGAAGTCAGGGGTCAGGTCAACGACCCGGAGCTGGGGTTAGTTTTTCGCAATTAGCTTGAGCAAAAAATGATCCTAGATAGTAGAGCTACGGCAGTGGGCCCACCGCGTTAGTCTTGTCAAGCCGCGTCGAATGACATATGTACATAGATGTTGTTTGGAAAAGGTCACAAGTTTTATGTTAATCTCATGTGACCTCGTATGACCTTTCGTTGACCTTGACACATGAAAACTCTTATATGATGGACTCATAGCCGCTGATCACGAATCTGGCAGCCAGTTTGCTCTAAGCGTTTATTTAGAGCCTCAGGATGGCAAAACTTTCCTTATTATTATGACCGACTTGAATCAGTGAAATAGACTCCAGCAAGAATACTCTTCCGTGGCCATAGGCGGCGGAACGGGGTGGGCACCGGGGCACCGTGCCCCCCTTTGATTTTGGCATTTTTACATTAGCCCTATGGGCGTTGCATGGAAAGAATGGGACCAAAAGTCGGTAGTGCCCCCCCCCCCTTAATTGAAGGTGTTCCGCAGCTACTGTCCGTGGCCTTGGACTTGGAGCATCCTTGTATCGTAAGATGGACCAAATTAGGGACCTGATGAGCCTAAAAACATTTTAAAACATCTTGGAGTTTGGTACACAAGATACAAGAGAAATGCAAAGTTTGAGCTCAATTGGAAATGATTGCGGGAATTGAGGTGGACATGATATTTCTAATTGTGATTTACAACATTTATCTATGTTTTTTGTTTGTTTGATAGCAATGTTTATCAAAATAAATGCTGCGGCGCCATAAATCGTCAGCTGTTACAGCCCTCAAACAGGTGATTTCCTCGCATAAATTATCCCACGGCTGCTATAAAGCGGCCCTCCTCGCAGCCAATCCAACCTTCGACGAGTTTTTTTTTATTTATTAACCACTGAAACAGACCCCAATTGTAACAGACCAAAAACATACAGATCCGGTATATCCGGGTGACCCGGCGTGCCGCGGAGATCCTGTTCGTGTGATGCGCGCGCGGCGGCTCTGTTTTCGCCCACAGGGCGGCGCACAGTGGCTCTCATTGGTCCCAATTTCCGCTATTCCCGGCGGCCCGCGGCAGATTGACGCCCCGGCAGCGCGTCCGACGCCGCGCTGTCTCCCCTTGATCCGATCTCCGACGGCAGCCACAGAGGAATCGCGCGAATCGAGCGAAAACAATTTGACGGATCAGGGCCGGCTTTGCGCCTGTGTCTCACTCTGTGTGTGTTTGGCTGTGTTGAGGCCGCTGGCAGGCGCCACCAAATGACAGCTAGACTAGAGTTATCGGTCTCCGGTGGAAACTGTTTAGAAATTGCAGCTTGGTTTCAGCTGGAAGCTATTTGGTTGCCGGCTCCGGCTTGGCTGATCTGTAGCCTGATGGCTAGGACGCAGTCATACATAGATGTTACAGTGCTTTATATTTCAAACCTACAGCGGCTATATTTTCAGTGCAATGCATTGGCGCCCATTCCCTGTGCCAGTGTTATTTATCAACGGAAATGTTTCCCAGCCCGATAGTTTTCTTAGAACCTATAGGTATTCCTCCAACGCTATTGATGTGTATGCCCTATCATATGAAGTGCTGCACTGCTTCGTGCTCTTATTTTAGGAGCTTTGTAGTAAGTACATTGTAGAACGTACATATGTTACAGACCGTATGAAAACCCAGTCCGTTTGCAAACGGCCTGGCCCAGTCAGGCCGTTTGAAAACGGCCTGAAAAAGCCGGCCGTTTGCAAACCGCCTGAAATATCAGGCCGTATGAAAACGGCCTAGGCAGTTTGAAACGGCCTAGACAGTTTGAAAACGGCCTAGTCAGTTTTCAAACGGTCTGGCGAAGTACAACAGCCGCTGAAGATTGAACTTAATTGATCCAAGTTGGTCGATGATCAGGTTGCATCCATGTGAATGCTTGCGCATTCCATGCCGAATGACTCGTCTACATACGTCGAACATTTTCGTACTGTGCTGATGCTCGGCCCGGCCGTTTTTCGACAATATTACTAACCAGTAAAACGCCTTTTGGGCGAAGAACGAGCGAGCGAGGTAGTGAGCCCTGCACGTGCGGAAGGGCGAGAGGGTGCTTCCAACGGGCTTGCGCAAAGCACCCTTCTAACTGGTCACTAGCGGTGTGCCAAATTTGAACGCAATCGGCCCAGCCGTTCCTGAGATCTGGAAGCGGCATGCTGCACGTGCGCACGTGCAAACGGGGTCCAAAATGACTTTTGCACGGCACCCTACTAACTGGTCCCCAACCGTGTGCCAAATTTGAGCGCAATCGGCCCAGCCATTCTCGAGATCTGGAAACGCCCCCTGCACGTGCGCACGTGCAGTAGCACCCTAACCGCAACACATGGGAATGCATTGCCTGGTGGGTGCCTACCTGTATGCCAAGTTTCAGCGAAATCGCCCCAGTAATTACCGAGTTACTGAAATGGGAACAAATTTGGCACCTCTTATCGTTGTATTTTGCACGTGCACTGGGGGTGACCCACATGCATCGAGAGTATCCTATTTTGGGTAGAAGGGATGCTGCTACCCTACAAAAATTTCCGCAAGTCAATTGCCCAAGCGGCTGCTGAGATATGAGCCTCTCAAAATCACTACTTTTGCAAAACAGCTTGAACACCCTTGACTTTTCACGTGGCACGTGCCACGACGTTCACTGAGATGTATCAAAAGTAGTCAATTACGGGGTAGAAGGGATGGGGCTACCCAACAAAAAAGACCGCAGGCCAATCGGTCCAGCGGTTGCTGAGATATACTCGTAAGCCTCTCAAAAGCGTTACAGGCCGGGCCGGGCCGGGCCGCTCATACTGAGATTTTTCCGTTATATTGAAAAGACTCACTTCGCTCGCTGCGCTCGCTCGCTCGTAATTATACAAGCTCACGGTCCGCCTGTGTACGGCCATCCAGTTGATGGAGCCTGGTGAAGCCACTACTGGTGAGGTCTGGTGAAACGTAGGTATCACTACAAGACTCACCGATTATTTTGCGGCATAAAACGCCGGAGCGCGCAATGGAGTTCACATCAGTGGTGCGGGAACCGGGGGGGGGGGGCTAGCGGGGGCTGAGCCCCTCCAACTTTTCAGCTGGGGGGGGGCTCGTAATGTATTTGAGCCCCCCTCCCCCAGCTGGAGGAAGCGAAATCGGAAATATACCAACATAATTTCATAGATTCCTACATAGGCGCGGGAACCGGGGGAGGAGGCAGTGGGGGAAGCTTGCTCCAACAGCTCTGGGGCCGTGGGGGCGGTGCCCCACAACTTTTCATGTTTCATGAGGTCAGGAACCGTTGGGGCAGCTTGTCCTCCCCAAATTAGGGGTTGTGGGTCACAAAGGAAGAAAGCATTTAAGTGAAAAATCCACCTCTTTCACTGGCTCGGCAACTCATTTGGCAGATTAAAACCTTTATTCCAGGTTGCCAAAACGGTAATTTCTTCACTCAGTTGAGACGGAATACCTGACTTTTTTGCAAATATTTTCGTTTTTTTTGTTGTTGAAAAGGCCAAGGTCTGAAAAATAAGTGGCCTAAAACCGATGAGAAAACTTGATTTTGGGGTACCCTAGGTTGATCTCTATTATGGTTCAGCCCCCCCCCCTCCCCAGTCTGGAAGAAGTTCCCGCGCCACTGGTTCACATTAGAGTCCTCACCGTGCCCGGTCGACCGCCGGCGGCTAGCCGGTGGCATACGCCGGCAATACTTGACCATTGCGGTGGAAGGTGAAACTTTGGAAGTCCGCGGGAAGCCCGGGTCGACCGGGCGCTATACGGGCCGGGCCTCAGTTCTGCGAAGCTCTTCCTGACCAGGCCTGCATTCGTCATCCGGAAAATCAGGGAGAATTTTCCGGAACTAGCGAGAATCATCGAGGATCACGAACGGTATCGCGATAACGAGACATGCTGAAGATAGGCGCTCAAGAATAATTTTCCGACGGAGAATATCCGAGTGACAATATTTTTCCGGATGCCGAATGCACCTAAGGATTTCATGGTGCCATGTAATGTCATGAAACGGTGAAACGGTGAAAAATCAAGTTATAACTCAACATTGTCCAGCTGTAACTTTATGCAGACCAGATTGTTTTCAAATTGCCTAGACCGTTTGCAAACGGCCTGGTGTCTGGAAAGTTGTCATACGGCCTAGACGGTTTGCAAACGGCCTGAAATTTCAGGCGGTTTGCATACAGCCTGGAATTTCAGCCCGTATTCAAACGGCCTGACTTTTCAGTCCGTTTGCATACTGACTGGGCTGTCCAGGCCGTTTGCAAACGGCCTGAATCGGGCCAGGCCGTTTGCAAACGGACTGAGTTTTCATACGGCCTGTAACACATATACGACAAAGCTGAAAGAAGCACTGTATCCTCCATCCATATAGACTGTTCAGATGAAGACTTGCTCTGCTCGAACACATCTTAAATTCGACAGCTTCCTGATTTTATTAGACTTTGCCGAGTACCTATCGCGAGATCGCACTTATAGCTCATCGTATTGGGGCACTTCAACTTGATAGCGCAGCGACGTTATTTTCAGAGCCGGAGCATTAGTATTCATATGCCTCCTTTTCTTGGACGTTCCTGTTTAGTATTCAACAAGAGCACCTCGTATCTTCAACATGTCGCGATAGCAAGGACTATGCGCCTTACTATCAACAGCTGATGCTACATAATTCATTGGAAGTTGGGGCCCTTGAAGGCAGCCATAGGCGCCGAAGCATGGAAGTCCGCATTCAAAACGTTAGCCATTGCTCTCCTAGCATTTAAGTGTAATTCGGGCATTTTACAGACAATTGGAGCGCATAAAGCTTGCCAGCAATTGCTTCAAGTTCCTATCTGTGCCAGAGAACAAGTTTAATAATTTTGCTAGATGAATTTGGCAAAAATTCATGGTAGGTAGGTACGATTACTGATGCTTGTTCTTAACTTCACACAAAACCAGATGGCAGATATAATGCAGCGACAGAGTTGTTACAAGTGTAGGTACATATGTAAGCCAGGGAGCTCAAGCATCCACCGGATCGTGCATCCATGCACATTACACATTGCACAGTGCACACGTTCCCCGCTCGGCTGTGACCCCACACGTTCACCCCTCGGCCCGAATAATCCGCACTCCTCCCAGTAGCTGTCCCGAGGCCGGGCCTGTCCCTCGCCGCACGCACAGCGGCTGTGTCGGGAGCGGCGCGTCCCTCTCCGTCACCGCGGGAGGAACAGAGAGGCCAGCCGCACGCCGTGACTATGCCCACACTACAGTCGGGTTTTGTCCGTGCGTCGCACTCGGTGTGTCAACAAGGCGGCAGGCTGCGTCGGACATCCGCACACACGGCGGCCGAGCCGACGTCCGTGGACACAGGCGCATGCTGCCTCCTCTCTTCGGTGCTTATTGGAAGACAGTCACAGGGTAGATTAATGCCTGAGCTGCCTGCCATTATGTGCCAGGCGTAGCAAGTGTATTCTAACGAGCAGACCATGATTAAATTGCAGACTCTTGGGATGGATAAGATTGTATTTGAAGCACCATTACCTTGTATATGCAGATGTTCAGTCCCTACACTAAAACATTCGAATTCCGATGGGTTAGGTACACCTCCGTTTGTGTTTCTCGTATGGCGCCCGCCACGGCGTCTAGGAGCAGTAGGTGCTGTCGGCCGTGTTTTCGACGATCCAGTCCAGCACCCCAGTGACGCGCGCGAAGAACGCTGGCTGGTCAGCTATGGCGCAGCCGCCCTTGCCGAACGAGGTGATTCCGACGAGGACGAACCGGCCGTCCACCTCGGTCACCAGCGGGCCGCCGCTGTCTCCAAAGCACGTGCCCTTACCCCCCGTTCCGCCGGCGCACAGTACCACGGAGCTGTTATAGGGGAGCTCCAGCAGGTGCATCATCGCCCCGCAATTTATGGGGTCCAGGATGTATAGATCGACTTCCATGAGAGCATCGGACACGGGTCCTTCAGTGGACAGTTTTCCGAGTCCCGACGCGGTGGCCACGAGGTCTTCGTATGTTTCCCCGGGTGTCGGCAGACACACGGGGCTGACGTAGCTGCTGAACGGAATCTGACGATTCAGCTGCAGAAGTGCAAAGTCGTGGAAGATCCTGCTCTGCTCCCACAGTGGGTGGACGAGGATGCGAGAGGCCTGAAAGCTCTCCTCACCGGACGGCGGATTCCCGCGAACGTTGCCAAGCATCACCATCACGACGCTGGGGGTTCCCTGGACGCAGTGGGCCGCCGTCAGGACGTACCTGCTGCTGAGGACGGAACCGTTGCAGAGGAGGACCCGCTCCCCGTAGACGGGCCACACGCCCGCCTGCCAGGGGTACTCGCTCTCCTCCGTCTCCGTACCGCCGACGATGCGCGTGGTGCGGTTGACCTGTCCACAGGTGCAGTTGATACTGGAGCCACCATCCGGTGCAGGATTGTTCTTAACGACGATGTCGCAGCTGAATCCTTTCCTGTTAAATATGCTGTCAGATATAAACTGAAGATGGAGCGAATCGGTTGATACTATTCTGACAGTGCTGTTATTTCCGCAGAAACGTTTGCCGTTTATATCAAGCCAATCATATAGGCAAAAAGGGCTGTCGTACCCTTCAACATCGAAGTCGGCACAATCGATGCTGATGATGTTGCCCTCGTCAACTGTGAAGCTCCAGGAAATGTTGGTGTTGTCCGAGTAGTTGGCGGGGTAGTTGGGTGACTGGAACACATAGTTTCCAGGAGCGAGTTTGGAGGTTTTCGACTCACCCACCAGATTTTCACAACGCCTGAACGCAGTGAACGTAGTGCGAGCTTTCGGCTTCGGAACAATGATGTTTTCTTGCGATGGGCAGATATGTTTCGCGTCGTCGCTCAGCTCTTGCGCACCAGTTGTGCCAGCCAGTTCAGGGCAGACATGTTTCTCAGCCGGTCGTTCTTGCTGGAGAGGTAGCAGTACGCTGGCAGCAGAGGACGGCAAGTCGGAGGCGATGCCGACGGTCAGACAGATGAACACCAGTAGCGCCATTGTGAAATGGTATGTTGGAAACGATTACAGTCGGCTTATATAGCGAGTCGTTGCAGGACACAGCTGTTGTGGACGCCCGGTTCAGAGGCTGTGAGGATCGGGGAGCGTGTCGGGCGGGGGCACCGAGCGCAGAAGCAGTGGGGCGACGAAAACGTGACTTGTAACTGACTGTTTGAACCGCTGGCTGACTCTCTGAACCACTGCTTCGGAATCAAGGACTAGGAGGGGCGCTGGAGAATTAAGCTGAACTATAGCCCCAGCGAACATTACCAAACATTTAATCAAATAATGTAGCCTAGCTCTTATCATTAGAAGTCAAAAGTATCGTACTTTTGCCAAATTGTCAGGGAACTCAGATTTGTTTTTCAATAGAAAAACACAATTCTAAAGAATAGTGTTTTAACCCGCGCCCTGCTGGGGGGGGGGGTGTTTGAACACCCCCCCTTGTGGTTTTTCGCGAATATCTCAAAAACGGCGGCGCGGAGCGCCGCCGTTTTTGGTACACCTTATCATACATCAATTCTACACATGTTGTGAAAATTTCAGACCAAGGTCATTCAAGGTCAGGTCACCAGGTCACTTGAAGTGACCTCACCTCATAAAAACTTTCAATGTCTGTCATAGCTACACCGAGTGACCGATCGCTTTGAAACTTTCAGCGATTGCTAAGAGCAATAGCATGTACAAAATGTATATCTCAGAATTTTGATATCGATGACCTAAGGTCAGGTCAATTTTGCGACCTCCCCATTATAAGTCAATGGGAGAAAATTGAAATGCGCCTCTTTTGGATGAAAGACATTATAAACACTCCCAAACACCGAATTACAAGTGGTTTAGACACACTGAACTTGAAAATGGTGTCCGTGACCCTTGTTTATGCCCTGAGGTCATCTTAGGTCACGAATGGTATCTAACAGTTTTTCGCAAATAACTTTTGATAGAGGCATGCTAGAGCGCTGAAAACGCCTTAGATGTGTTCAGCTCGACGATACGGATCGACTGATATGCAACATGACCCTTTCCGGTCAGGTCATGACCTTGACCTGAGGTCAAATTTTCAAGTTGACCTTTCAAGGTCAAGTCATAATTCATTCGATGCGTCTTGACGAGAGGAACACGATGCCGGTAAAAGTAAGCTCGTACAAGGCTTGGGTCAAAAGTTATTGCAGAAAAACTGTTTTCGAAAAAATCGGCTATTTTTGCAGTTTTTGCCCCCTGCAGGCAAAACCGTTGACGTTAGGTCAAATCTGAGAGAATTGCTCAGAAAGGGCGTTAATAGGGCTATCGAATGCGCTTTTCCGCGGCGCTGTAGCTCTATTGGTTCCCGAGTTCTGCGTTGGCTTCTTGGAAATTTTCGACATTCGACCTGGAAATCGGCGAAATTTTGCCTTCAATGACCTCTGGTGACCTGACCTTTGACCTGACCAAAAATTTGACCGAAGTGATTTCGTCATTATTTTTGACGCTCTTTCGAACGCCGCCTTCCGCGTATCGCTACGTGGCCCAGGAGCCGAGTTACAAGGGGGGGTGTTCAAACACCCCCCCCCCCAGCAGGGCGTGGAAATCCAGGACCCCCAGCAGGGCGCGGGTTAACTATTGACAACAAACCTTCGGTTATGAAAACAGCTGCATAGTTTTGAGGAGCTTGACTGATTTGAAGTTAAACGTTTTTGCACTAAAAGTAGAATAAAATAGAGCGAGTTGAAGAACGCATAAGCCGAAATCTCCTAAAAAATGGCATTTTTCTTGTTGTTGTTTTTTTTACATTAGTTTTGAGAACAAGGTTAGGGTAAGGTGCCTAATTAGCGACCCTTTCCGATTTACGACCTACCTCCCTACAGAAAAACTGGCAGAAGAAAACGGGGTAAAAATATCGTCAAAAGGTCAGCCATGCTTTGGTTATCAAATTAAATTATTTGCCGGTCGTCGATGTTTCTGGTGGGACGTTTCAGGTGAGTTTAAATAAAAAGGACGAGTTTCTTATCCAAAACGTATGTGTTTGGGCCCTCTCTGATAAAAAGCGATGCACATTAGGATGATGCACCTTTTTTATTCTGAATCGACATTCCTTTTTCAATTGATTGCCGTTTTCCCATAGTGAATCGCTCAACTGTGCACAGCATGGCGGTTAAAAATGTGTCGCAACTCATATTTCCTATTTGCGCCTGACATGGTCGCAAATAGCTCAAGAAGGAAAAGAAAGGGGAAAAGAGAGAAATGAAAATGAGGTGTTGCTGAAGCTTGCAATGTGCGGCAGGGGATGCCAAATGTCGTCACCAACTGCAGGGGTGCCGAATTCAGCGCGAACCTCGAATATCATACGAGATAGCTCGCAAAATTTGGGTTTCCGCCTTCTTTTCGCCTTCGGTGCATCACGTGATCAGTTTTTACTTACGTAAATGTGTTGGATAAACGTTCCTGTTCGAGTGATTGAGTGCTTTGCGTATAGGTTAACTTTTTGAGATCATATTTCATCTTTTCAGGCGTCGCATTTTTTGCCATTTTTAATATGGGGAAACCCATAGACTTATTAGCGACCCTCCCCGGTCGCTAATCGGGAAGAGTTCCCTATTAGCGTTTTTTTGCAAAGGTTTGCCAAAATGCTCACTACAAATAAGTTAGTGAATATTGGGACGGAAAATGACTATATTTTAATAGAAAAATGAACGATCTCTCCGAAAATCAAACCAGTAATACAGTGGCACCCACAGAGCATGAGCAATGACGGTTCAAATTAAGGGGGTCGCTAATTAGGCACCTTACCTTACCTTACTTGACTATTCTATATGTTTAAGCATGTAGGTATCTCAAAACAGTGCTAGCCACAGTTAATAGCCAAACATAGCCTAGCATGCTTGTAGCACTTGTCGTATGTAAGGCATAGGTATAAGATGTATGAGGAAAATGATTTTTAAGTCACCTACTTGATGAGAGAATGAAATAAAGCCAAAAATCGTAAAAACACACGTGTCTTACAGCAGTTCTGTCTGGCTTATTTTGATAATGACCTGTGGTCCAAATCAGCAATAATTATTTCATTCTATCATCATTTGGTATTGTATTGTAAGGAGGGTATTTAAAAATCATTGTTCGCATATAATATACCTCAATCATAGCCTAGCATAACTTATATTTTTGTCAATGCGTGGGCATTTAATGCCCTGCGAACATTTGCAACAAACAGGTAACTACCTACATACTTTAGTGTTTAGGTAGGGCAAAACAAAGTAGATACTTTGGTCCTACGTATATTTGTTGATGTATAGATATTTTTGTCAGAAAATGTCTTTATTTGTCTGATAAGCAGGTATAACGTTTTAACCCTCGCATGTGTAGGGGGGGGGACGGATGGACCCCCATGGTTTTTCGCGAATAACTCGCGTAAAAAGCGGTTGATCGCGACGAAACTTTCAGTACCCTCGCATTAATCAATTTTACACCTACCCTGAAAATTTCATGACCCTGACCCCAATTACCTTTGACCTGTGACCTCTTTTCCGAGACCATGTTTGGCCGGAATCGCGATTCCGCGTATGTCGGCTCGCATTAGCCGCGCGTTTGCAAGCTTTTCGTGGTTTCAAACACTCAAACATGTGATTTGATGCTGCTCCCATGCATTAGGGTGGGTGTCAAGGTCACCTGAAGGTCAGGTCAAGTCATTGACCTTTGATGACCTCGGTTCACTTTTTGGAGTTTTACATGTTTCTAGGCTAGTTTTTGGAGCTGAATTCGAATTTAGCAACCATTTGAACATTTACGAAGTAGTTTTGGTGACTTCGTAACATGTTACGAAGCTGTCAGAGGCGGTTGACACGTACTCCGAATACCCGTCACGGCGCCTACTGGTCGACCTGACCTGACCTGACCCGCCCTGCTGTTAATGCTTAAAGACATCATCTCTGATCAAAACTAACACGATATTCGTGATCAGCACCCCGAAAAACCCATTAGCAGCCACACTTAACGACTTTCTATGTAACAGGTCCCGATTTTCCCGACTTTGGGTCACTGACCTGACCTGAAAAGTCAACCAATGACCTAGGACCTTAAAATTGGGTATCATCGGCTTCCTCTCGTCACGGGCAACACGCTCGTTTTTTTTTTCCGCGAAGCTCTAGCTCGATCAGGGGCCAAACGGCAAGGGGGGTCCAACCCCCCCTACACATTAGAAGCTGGCAAACGCCGCACACATGCGAGGGTTAAAAAACATACAAAATGCAATGACCCAAATGATTTGCCAGACGATGGGGATTTACACCACGGAAAGACCTGTGCAAAGAAAACTACACGTTGGCATTTGCCACCACCAAATGCAATGACCTATCGTACATTTGCTATACGAACATTTTCGATGCAAACTTTTGTCTGCAGCCCCATACTCCGCCCACTAGAGGCGCTGGATGCCCGCACTCCATCCACTAGAGGCGCTGGGAGCCGTATTCCGCCCACTAGAGGCGCTGGGAGCCGTATTCCGCCCACTAGAGGCGCTGGATGCCCGCACTCCATCCACTAGAGGCGCTGGGAGCCGTCCAGGGGCAGCGCTGCGGTCGTGGCAGTCACGATCAAGATTCTTTGATCATGATAGCAACAGCGTCACCCAGTCCCCATCCCATTTGTGATCACATCGGTCCGGCCCTCAATCACACAGCCGCTATTTCATCGCTCGACCCCTCTTATCTATAGGTACATCAATTAATGCGCACACGTTTAGAGCTTCATATGCGTAACTGTCGGTCAGTCACCCTCCGTCCTTTGACCTTCCGTCCTTGCGTCCTTTGACCAAAATGACCTTTTCAAGTCATTTCGATGGCGTCCCAATGAAAATGTTTAAAGTGATGAGTTATGTTAGCCAGTATTGGTAATTCAGCTTTTACATAACGGATGATTCTTTAAACAATGTAGATATAATTAGAACAGCAGTATAGTTTGTTATGCTGTTGGACACACTTACAAAACGTTGTAATATGTTTTTATTCCGTGAAACGATATCTTTTTCAACGTAGG